CCAAACAGCACCAGCAACAAAAGAGCCAACCAAACCCAGAGAACACGATGCCTAAAACAGCATTATCAAGACGTGAAAATCATTACGTGGGTGAGCTCACATTCAGGTGGTCCTAAAAATGCCACTATCGCACAGGCTTGCAGATACCTTATACCATTCAACCACAGCCACTTGAAAGAAGATGCTATGAAACACAGCACTGCAGAACCATTTGGGATGGGGACTGCAGCCCCCAGCCCAGAGAACACAGGCAGAGGGACAATGCTGAGTCCCACTGTCCCACATAGCAGCTCAGGTAGTGTAGGTCCCACCAGCCAGGAGGGGGGTTGCAATGTTTCTGCATCAGTTTTCACCCGCTTTTATGAATGTTTTAATTCATATTCCAATTATTACTACTCCTACACAGCATCACAAGGAAGAGGAGCAACAGAGGACAGGCCACCCTCCCACCAGCACAGCAGTGTTGGTTTATGGGCCACTGCAGGCAAGTGGGCACTGCCCATCACACAGAATGGTTTGGGTTGGAAGGGACCTTAAAGCCCACCCAGTTCCAACCCCTGCCACGGGCAGGGACACCTTCCACTAGAGCAGGTTGCTCCAAGCCCCTGTGTCCAACTTGGCCTTGAACACTGCCAGGGACGGGGCATCAGGCAGAGCCTTGAGGCAGTGGCACTCTGCAGCTATCTTAGACGCAGCCTAGCTGACAAGGAAAAATCAAGCCATCAGCGTAACAAACAAGGTGCAAGTTATTTTCTCCCAACAGTCAGAAATGGATTTATCCAGCCTGGGTTTCCTGCAGCAGCAATGCCCACCAGCTGCTACATACACAATCCTTGGTCCTCAGGGTCCCCAAGATGCTCCAGGACTGACTGTAGCAGCAGGACCTGGTTGTGGAAATGTGGCAGTTGGCACAGGCTCTCCAGGGATTAGAAGAAACACCAGTTTTGTGCTGCAAAGCAAAGGGCGTGAGCAGGGCAGCAGCCCACAGCACCGGCTGTCACACATCTGGATGCTGCCATCACCATCGGGGAACACTGCTGGATTTAGGAGGAGCTGAACAAAGGAAGGAGGGAAGAGGGTGACTGAGGGACGGTGACAAACAGGGCCAGTAACTACTGTGGTACGAAAGATAATTAAAAGCATTCAAAAAGAGATAAGGGATTTCTACATGCCTTTCTCTGAAATGCCCAGCACCAGATGCCATCATGAGGAAAGAGGCAGGATCACAACAGAGGTCTTGCCTGGTACAGCAAGTCTCACATTCGGCTAAAGCAAAAGGATGGTGACGGAAACTTCAACACCATCGGGTCTAAGAAATGACCTTTGCTGCGCTATGGGGAGACCCCCCTGCAGCCCTGATCCAGCTCTGGGGAACAGCACAAGAGGGACGTGGAGCTGCTGGAGCGAGGCCAGAGGAGGCCCCGGAGCTGCTGCGAGGGCTGGAGCAGCTCTGCTCTGGAGCCAGGCTGAGAGAGCTGGGCTGGGGCAGCTGGAGAAGAGAAGGCTCCTCAAGGGGACACCTTAGAGCAGCTCCAGTGCCTAAAGGGGCTCCAGGAAACCTGGAGAGGGGCTTTGGACAAGGGATGGAGGGACAGGACAAGGGGGAATGGCTTGAACCTGCCAGAGGGGAGACTGAGATGAGCTCTGGGGCAGAAGCTCTTCCCTGGAAGGGTGCTGAGGCGCTGGCACAGGGTGCCCAGAGGAGCTGTGGCTGCCCCATCCCTGGCAGTGTTCAAGGTCAGGTTGGACACAGGGGCTTGGAGCAACCTGCTCTAGAGGAAGGTGTCCCTGCCCGTGGCAGGGAATTTGAGCTGGATGAGCTCTAGGCTCCTTTCAACCCAAAGCATTCTATGATACCAAGAGGTTGCACCTTCCAGAACAAAAACACCAACTTGCCCAGGAGGACAAAAGCTGGGTTTGTTGGGCCACGGAGGGGCAGGAGCCAGATCCTGCCCCAGGGGTGCAGGAGGACTCTTCTTGCTGCCCTGGTCATTTGTTCCAACCACCCAGACAGCACAACATGAGGCTACAGGAGTCCCATGATGTGCTCTCTGTTCACACCTTCACTGCTACCTGCTGTGTCACTCTGGAGTCTGGTTGGCAGGAGGGATCCAGTGCAGTTCAGGGGAGGCACAGGGCTGGCAAAGCAGGTCCTTTCAAGGGCTGGAATTTTTATTCCAGCTCTTAAGCTCATTCCCAATTCCATTAATTTTAATGATTAATCTTATGACCAGGAATTTTTTTTAGGTCATACTCATTAATGATTATGTGGAAAACAAGAAATACTTGAAGGAAGGGAGCACATGCCTTCCTTGAAGCGAGCAGCATGCCTCGTCCCTACCCGTATGCTTTAGTTTACAAGCGCATGTCAGATAGCCGATTTCACACACAAACACAGAATCAAAGCAGGAACACAACTTTGGATCATCCTACAGTGATGTTTACTCTTGTTTCCTGTAGCCTCAGGTGACAAATCTGTCCTTTATATATAGCAGAGGTTCGTTGGTGCTATTAACAAAGTCAACTGGACACGTTTAAAACTCAGAGCAGCTCTTTGCATTGGCGGCTTGTACCAAACTGAGGAATAACAATTGGTAAGCAATCAGTTGTAAAATGATGAGTATAAATGCAGAAATGGGTTCTTCTTCCTGAGCAAAACCGCTCCAAAGCAGCATTTACAAGCAACTTTCTTACATATGAACACTTCTGCCAAGAAAGAAGATGTTGGAGATTCAGCCCCTTGGAACACAAGGGCTTTTGTTCCCCCATTCTCTGAGCACTGAAGAAGTTTAATTTGCTTTTCTTTCTTTTTCTTCATTTAACTTTGCTGGCCTGCCAGCTGGGTGGAAGCCAGAGGGGTTATCCAGGCAGCCCTCACCGTGATGTATTTACAAGGGGAGTGCATCTAAGGTTTGTTTATTTCAGGATTCAAATTCAAACGGCTCGAACCATTTAAATAATTAAAGGGCAATCAGAAAATGCCATGAAACCAAACAAATCAGGAAAAGTCATGGAAACCATCAGCAATATTTAATGCAGAAATTCTCTTTGTTAGGGAACTGAGCTGAAAGAAAACAGCTGGATGGAGTTCCACCCTCTAAATTAAAAACAATCTAACAAGGCCTATAGGGATAACTCTTTCAGCTACATATTGGAGACCAGATTCACTTCTACCAAGTCAATGTAATAGCACTCAAAGCTAGAAAGGAAATTCCTCAGAACTGAGGTAGTTTCTAAGTATCAGCACATTTTCCAATGCCTCACAAGGCAACTTAGCTATTTACAATCCATTTTTTCCCACACATAAATTTAGGATTTTTCCAATTTTATGGTTCCATGATTTACTTTCTAAAGAAAAATAATGTAGCCAGAATATCTCTACCTCTACTAACAGCATGTTTTAATAAATAACTGGCTACTTCTAGTGAAATTAAGCCTCCAGGATTGTTTTTACCAGCCAAGAATACTCCTTCTTTATAGCTTTGCAGCAATTTGGTGTGAAAATATAAAGTTGAATATAACGCTGACCCTGAGCTAACAATAATGCTTCAATATAAAAATAGAAAATCATCCTTACAACACGAGGGTGGAATAGAGCAAACCCTCCCTCTCTGGATTGTTCTCCCGGCATCCAGTCAGACCAGAAGACTACCTAAAGCAGGAGGAGACGTGCAGAATGATTTTGAGTCTTTCCAAAGACTTTTCTTGTTTTCCTTAAACTCTTTTAAAAACTATTTCATCTCTTTTCTTAAAAATAGACATTTCTTTTATTAATGAGTTGCTGCCATCCACCACAACACTGTTCCAACTGCAAAAGCACAGGTAGGGAGAGGAGTGTGTCTCGGGTGATGCCGAAAAACTACAGTCACTGGGAACTGGCTCCTAGGAAACCGAATACATGGAAAAGGAGGAGCTTCAGCCCTGCCAGCTCCTGCCTGCTCCAACTTGGATCTGCCTGCACCAGCGCCATGGGGCACTGCTCACCTGCTCCTTCCCTCTTGTCCCCCATGGGAGAGGAAACACAACTCTTGCACAAACCAATTCAACACCCCCCACCTTCCCTCCCACAAAGCATCCCTTCAAACCAAACCAACACTAAGAACTGAATCCAGTATTCATCTAACACATTTGCAGACGAGACACATGTTGGCATTTGGATCTGCGAGACGACAAGTTGCTTCCAACTGAACAAGTTTAATGCCTTATTCCCACGGGGGATGCACGTCGGGAACTGACCTACAGGAGTTACAGCTAATTGCAAGGATCCCGGGGACAAACGACAACTCTTCTTAGTGTCTGCAGAACTGGAATTCTCCGTAGTATCTTCCAATTTAACCAAACCTCTTGCAAAGAAAGTACAACCTGCTCCTGGCATTAACGCCCTGTGCAAGTGGGGCACTTGGCACACTGACCAGCTCTGCCTTCGCCTCTTGTTTTACCGCATAATAAAGTCAAATTACTTCCACCTCTTTCCAGATAAGGCAACTAACATAATGTGGATAAATGGGAAGTTAACTACATGAAACACGTTTTCTGCTTGTTGGGCAATTATTTTTCTTTCCCCTCATAAGATAACATGATAAATAAAACCTGCTTCTGTACAGATATTTCTCATTTCAGAAACACAGACTTGTTACAGGCCAAGGAGACCCTGGGGTTCTTTCATTTTCATAGGAAATATGGTAAAATAAAATAAAATAAAAAAAAAAAACAAACCAAACAACAAACCAACAAAAAAGAAAAGTGATAAAGACACAAATGCAGAGCTAACTACAGGCTTGTATATACACTTCCGTTATCCACCTCTAACATGGATTCTCGGTGAACAGGACAGACTGGTAGCCCCCGTTCCTGTTATTCCCAGAATAGCAAGGGGAAACAAAAAATAAAATCAGTATCTTAAAACCAGTGGCAACATAGTAAAAACTGTACACTGTTGTCCATTAACTTAAAAAGCAAAGTCCCTAGATGGTATAAAAGTGAAAGCAGGTGCCTTCTAACTTTGATAATAAAAGTCTTTCCCCCCCGACCCCTACGCTGCACAATTATCTCCATTGTCTTTGCATGGCCAAGAACAAAATGCTAAGGAGCAAGGCTGCTTGTGATAGACTGCCCCGGGCAGCAGCAGAAGTGTTCACGGTCTTATCGCTCTTGTTGGAGTTCCCAGTGACTTCGGTGGCGTTGAACTCGAACTCTGAGGAGCACTGCTGGAGCTCGCAGCCGCTGCCACTCTCCTCCCCGCTGCTCTCCTCACCTGCAGACACAAACACACGTTACCCTCATTGCGGTGCAGCACGAGGCTTCGGGATAGGGTTGGAGAAGGGGGGGCAAGTTGGACTTGATGATCTTAAAGGTCTTTTCCAGCCTAGTTGATTCTACAGAATTCTATATCATTTTGACATGTACGAGATGCAAACGTGGGTCCTCTGGTTAATGCAACTTTTGTGTGGGACTTCATCATGCCCAGACATGCTGGTGGGTGAAAAGCTGCACCCCCAGAGTGTGAGCAGCAGGTCAAGGGAGGGGATTCTCTCCCTCTGCTGTACTCTGGGGAAACCCCCCCTGCAGCACTGATCCAGCTCTGGGGCAAAAACACAAGAGGGACGTGGAGCTGCTGGAGTGAGGCCAGAGGAGGCCCCGGAGCTGCTGCGAGGGCTGGAGCAGCTCTGCTCTGGAGCCAGGCTGAGAGAGCTGGGCTGGGGCAGCTGGAGAAGAGAAGGCTCCTGAAGGGGACACCTTAGAGCAGCTCTCTTATTGCTCAATTTGTGCATTCTCTTAAGCAAAACAAGTGACAGGCCAAGGGGAATGGCTTGAACCTGCCAGAGGGGAGACTAAGATGAGCTCTGAGGCAGAAGCTCTTCCCTGTGAGGGTGCTGAGGCACTGGCACAGGGTGCCCAGGGAGGTGGTAGATGTCCCATCTCATCCCTGCCAGTGTTCAAGGCCAGGTTGGACAGGGCTTGGAGCAACCTGGTCTAATTGAAGATGTCCCTGTTTACTGCAGGGGGGGTGGACAAGCTGACCTTTAAAGGTCCCTTCCAACCCAAACCATTCTATGATCCTATGGGAAGAACCCTCCCCATACAGCCCGAGATGCTTGTTCCCATCCTCTTTACTAACACACTTGCTCACAGTTGAAGCTTAAACAGCTACCCCATGTCAGCCTGAAGTCCAAATAAAAAGGGAAAAAAGAAAAAGCAAAAGGCAAACAGCAGCAAACATACTTATGTCAATGAAGTCGACATCATTCCCACTATAAGCATTCTTCAGCTTGTTGGTCATCACTCGCAGAGCCATGATTTGACGGCGAATCACCATGTCTGGCTTGGTGATATCAACTTCCACCTCGGGGTTATTCACTTGACTTGCTAAGCCATTCCCAGTCACTGCAAAGTCATACCTGGAAAGAAACCATTCCTGCC